CTCATAGGTTTCCTCTTCTCTCGTGTAGCTTTCCTTTGTGGTATACTTGTCTCTTCCACACTTGTCTCTTGTTGCTACTTCTTACTTCAAATTATATTTGTATCTTCAATTCCCTCTTGTAATTGTATCCTTTGATCTTCCATCGTATCAAGGATCATTTGGCAAGGGGCAGAGTAGGTGAGTTTCTCTCAGGTTAGGACATCAATGGCCGTTAAAGTTGACATATGTGAAGCTAAGTTTGATTTATCATTCCTTAGGGACCCTATATGTCTGGTAGAAGCAAAGTTAGGGATATATGCGTATGTGAGATGATAGCATGGGATCAATGGTTTGTGATACCCTCCACTGATTACGATAAGAAAGATCGAAAAATGATTTATGCAATTGTGATAGAAATCATTTCCTCTGCCATTGATACAAAAGTAAGAGAGATAGAGAGAGAAGAGAAAATGAGTGAGAAGAGAAAAAATGAGAGAAATAAGAGAAAAATTTGTGTCAATGGCAGAAGAATGATTTTTGCCACAACTGCAAAAATCATTTCCCTAAGAAAGATTGTTAAGAGAAGTAAGGAAGGAAATTTCTACACAAAGCTTCAAGAACTTAGAGGTTAAATGCTTAATAAGAGAAGTACAAAAAAATTGTGGATTAAAGAACAAAATTAATAAGTTAAAACTGCTATATTAGGCTTCAATCCAAAGATTTGAGAATTTTAGTGGGTATGAAGAAAAATTAATGAAAGTATCAATAAATTCAAATACTAAAGGTAGGAAACTATGTTAGATTTACCTTACAAACTAAACAATGGTTAAAAATAAGATAAAAATCAATGAAGTATTAACAAGGAGCTCCTTATCAGGAGTAAATCTTTAGTGCTAGTACTAAAATTTTGAATATTATTTTCATTCACATTTCACAACGTGATACATGGAAAAATAATCAATGTTATCTATTATTTAAATATTTAATTTTTTATTATTTTTTATTTCCACTTTTATAATTTTCATCTTCCTCTGTATTCTACTTCTCGTTTCCTAATCTTCCTCCCTCTCCTTGCATTTTTTTCTTCCTCCCATTTCTTTCCTCTCTTTTCTTCTATCCTATTTTGAAACTTATAAGAACGTCGTCAATTCTCTTCTATTGTAGTATTCCTAACCAGCCATTTAATGCGACATTCCTGTCACACATCTCAAAGTTGTCTTGATCTATTCATGTCAATTTATTTTTGAACCACCAATAGATCACCTTTTATAATCAAAGACATAACAACTTCCTATAATAAACATGCCATTAGACTGTCCTATTCATATTGTTCAAGGCCTTCAAGGCAACAATTGAGCGAACGATTTTTTGGCAACATTATTTATGCAACATAGGCAAAATTTTCTGAGACAGGAATTACTCACAACATATTAATAAAGTGTGGTGTGGAGGAGGACGAGTCCAAAAGTCATGTTTTGACTGTGTGAGAAGACAATTTTTTAAAGGAAAAGATTGAGGAGAGAATTTTCATGGGAACCAAACAACTTTTATCAATGGTTTTTGTGCATAGCAAAATATATAGTTGGGTAACACTACTGCGAGAGAGGAGACTCTCAAGCGATAGTCTGATGATGTTCTTACAAGTTTCAAAAAGGAATAAAAGAAAGGGGAAGTGGAAAGAAAGAGGAAGAAGAATGAGAGCTACACGAGAAATAAATCTTTGGTGCAACAGTTGCACTGAGCAGTGCAACAGTTGCACTGAGCAGTGCAACTGATCAATGGGTCACACATCAGCCAACACACATCAGAGGAGAGAGAATATCGACTGATGAGTAATGATCCCATTGGTCGATTGTACTGAGTCTTTAGTGCAGCTATTGCACCAAAGATTTATTCCTACATAAGAAGAAAGCTGAAAATTCGAAAGGAAAATTTAAAATTTTAATAATAGTTGGAATATATAATATGAATTATTTTTCTTTCTGTCACATTGTGTGAAGGGTAGTAGTATTGAAATTTCAATTCTATGTACCAAATATTTATTAGTTAACAAAATTTCAAAGCATAGTATATAATTTGTATTAATGGGTTATGTTCATATCGAGTCAAGGTCTATTACGAACACAAATACATTTGACCTAAATATGCACTAAAACTTCAAAAAATTTGAAGTGTTGTGTGTCACACTTTTCGACACTCCACGATACTTTGACACGCTCCAATATCTATAATATTTAAAAATTCATTATATATCATGAAAAAATTGATCGATATTTTACCAAACTGACACAGATGTAAATTTGGATTGCCTTTTTAAAAAGTTGCTTTTATGTCTTGCTTATTTTAGAAGTATTTTTTTTATAAAAGTTAAAACTGTTTAGAGTTTTAAAAAATATTTGGTTTTTGTCTTCTTCTTTTTTTATAAGCTAAATTTTTTAGCTTTTTTAAAAAAGTAGGATTTTGGATTTTTGTGATTTATATTTTTTTTAAAATAGACATCCAAACGAAATTTATAATAAAAGTGTTTTTTTTTTGAAAAAAAAAGTAACTTTTTGCTAAAAAAAGCTCTTCCAAATGGTAAATCTTATTGAAGTGTATAAGAGATTTTCAATTTAAAAATATAATAGTACATATTTATATATTATGTTTTTTTGCAAAATTGATGAGTATTATAAGTTTAGTTTTATTTTTTTTGTTAAATTATTGAATATTAAATATAATATACACTACATAAATTAAAAAATATTATATAATATCAAAACGTATCTTAACGTGTCAAAATTTAATATTTTTTGAAATTAACGTGTTGAAATGTCGTGTCGTGTCCCATGTCGGTGTTGGTGCAACATAGCATCTCGCTCATTTTATAGGTTGACACGAGATGAATATTCTGCCAACTTCAAACAACCTCAAATTTGTATGTTCTTGACATTAAAACTAGAGGTGGCAAAGTGGGCGGCCCATCCCACCCCACCCGGCCATCAACCCGTCAAAAAATGAGTCAGCCCGTCCTGTCCCATTTTTGAAAGTGGGCTAAAAAACTCAGTTCGTCTCGCCTCGTTTGGAGGGCGGGGCGGGTTGGCCCACCGGCCCGAATCTATTTTATATTAACCCGCCTCGGCCTGCCCCTCCCTATCAACTTCCCAAAAAATGAGTCTGTCGCGTCTCGTCCCATCCCACTTTTGAGATGAGTTGTAAAACTTAGCCCACCCCATTCCGTTTGAGGGGAGGGACGGATCGGCCCACCAAGCCGAGCCCGTTTTGCCACTCTAATTAACACATGTCGTTTATTATATGCAAATTGACACAATATAATAGACTATGTACTGAATTACTTTCACCAATTAAAAATAGGGTTAAGTTAGTCTCATGCAGCATAAGACAGAGAGTTTCTCCTACTGATCCTTCGATATCCGTGCTGGCCTTTTTTTCTTTTTCTTTTTAAAATCAATGGAGTCCAGATATGTTGAATTAATCTATCACATAAGATACCCTATCTCCTACAGTAGGAGAATAATAATTCCCTTAAAAATAATAACCAAACATTAATGACATAACTCGATAGAAATAATTTGCCAATAAAAAAACATAATTTACTACAAAAATGTCATTATAATGTTAATGGGTTGAAACAACACAATACCCATTTTTTCGTGTCATTCTTTGCAAACATAAACATAACACAGATGTAAATTTGATTTAGCCTCGACACAAAAGTCTGATGTTATGTTTATATATCAACCTGGCCTACTCAAAAACCAATTTTCCATACCTCAATATTTTAAGTAAAACACATGTCAATGATTTACGTAATAATCTTTTTGATTTAAAGCGTATTTGATAATATTCATATTTATTTATTACTAAATTTTACCTTTTATTTAGAAAATGTAAATATAATTCATAATTAGTTTTTTAGTACAAGTAATTCATAATTATCTAATCATAAGTACTCTAATATCACGCCAGTAACTAACTTTCTCAAAATATGGTGAAGTTTTGTGAATATTTTTAAGAAAATCATTCTTTCATTTTACATTTGATAATTATCTCGTACTGTTTTCACATTAACAATTATTCCACCACTTTTCTTTTTTTCTTTTTTAATGGATGCATGATTGGCCCCACCACATAACGTGTCTATAGTAAAAAATAATTATTTCCAATAACATGAGAAAATAAAACTCATATTTTTATGGGTATAATATTTGTTATGTTGTAGGAGATAAATTTTATCACCTACACACATAAAAATGTGTTGGACCTTGTATCTTATTTTTCTCTTTTTTCTCTTCACATTGGCCCCACTTACTTTTTTTTTTATGTGTATAAGAGATAAAATATTAAATCCTATTTTTATACCTATAAATCAGTTTCGCTATTAGGGAGATAATCACTATAATGGGCTTGCAGTGTCCGAATCAAGTGTCATCGTTCGGGGTCTATTTACTGAGGATATCCGGTGGATGGCTGATTAGGCCTTCTGGAACAATACAAAAAGAAAATACTTATTTCAAATATCTTACGTGGCTACTATTTGCTCTGGTAATTTTGACACAATATTTAAGTAATTAATATTTTTTGAGATATGTTATTTTACCTACCATTTTTTTCTACCTATCTTTCTTAGGACTCTTCAACATCATCAGATTAGAATCTCATAAAGAGAGAGAAATGATAAATATAGTTGAGATTCTAATCTAATGGTGTTGAAAAATGGTAGAGAAAATTAGGCCGAAAAAATAGTAGGTAGAATAACCTATTCCATATTTCTATATAAATTTTATATTATACCAGATTCATTGATTGACTAAAAAAAACAAATGTACATGTTAATTTTCCTACATGTAAATCACGTCGTTCCTATTTTACTACAATGTTTATCCTCATTGAACACATGGTTATATCCATATTGTGTTGTAAAATGCCGCCATGTTCTTAAATTAATGTGCTAGAGATAACTTTTTTTGCACTTGGTAGATTGATGATCAATATATCAAATCATTTCATCAAACTAAGGTGTTGCCTATATATGAAGACAAAATTTAAGTTTATGAAGGCGATGTCTCAATTTTTTCTTTGGCATGTGGTGTGATGTTAGATGATCCAGTTGTTAGCTTTTGATGTGATAGACTGTATTTCCTAAGAACCCTACCTTTGTTTTGGTTCCACCATTCTTGTGCTTGAGTTTCAGTGAACCTTCGCTTGCTGCATGCAAACAATAATAACAACAACAATTAGAGAGAAATAGAAATGTTAAAGGGTTAAAAAGACAAAAAAAATAAAAAATAAAAAAAGTACAAGGGTAAGAATTACTAAACAATGACATAAAATAAACAGAAAAATTGTTCAAATCACTTGAGTAACCTAGTGGATTGTATTTTCATGAAGAGGTCATCACTTCTCATCAAAACAAAAGATGGGGTAAGAAGCAATAACCTGATGACATGGATAACTTCTCATTTTCACAAGGTGGCGAAAAAACAGCACATGCTAATCATAAAAAAGGAAACATGTTCCATGTGTGCTAATTTTGTCTAAGAATTTATAAAACTTCATATTGCTTAATAAGGGATATAAAAATCAAAGAACTTGTCAATGCAAATATCCATTTACATAATTGTTAATGGATATAATATGCTTGATGGTCTAAATGCAAATTTAAGACAAGAGATGGATCAATATTCAAAACAATGTAGTTATTACTTAATTTAGTGAAACAAACTCTTGCATATTTGAATTTATCAAACATATCCCCACATTGAGATGCAAATACTATCAATTTTAGGAAGCTAAGTGAACTATTTCCAATGCAGACACTAAATCACACTGAAATAGAAATTGAAACAAGTAACTAACCCGAATTTAACTCTTCTAAAAACTTTGATACCATCAGGCCGCAGCATGAGTATCACATAAACACCAGGTTCAAATTGTTCAATGACTTGTGTTTCTCCTTGTCTACCAAGTCTTGAAGAATCCAGTGATCTTGAACCATTTTCCACGTTTTGTGGCGGCATTGCTGTTCCAGTACTAGACACAGCTGATCCATCACTTTTTTGAAGGACATGTCCTCCAGTCTGAGGTTGATCAACTCTTGCAGGGTCAGCATTTTCTTCTAGTCTGTGTTCATGCAGTTCAGAAGTGCCACTATCTGAGGCAGGTATATCAGGTGCATTTTGTTGCTCAGACTCCAACTTTAATCCATTACTTTCTTCAATAGAATTTCCTCCATCTTGATTAGGGTCAACTCCTACAGCATCAACATTTTCTTGTAATCTTTGTTCTTGCAATTCAGAAGTGCCACTATCCAAGTCAGGTATATCAGGTGCATTTTGTTGTTCATACTCCAACTTTGATCCATTACTTTCTTCAAGGAAATTACCTCCATCTTGAAAAGGGTCAACTCCTGCTGCATCAACATTTTCTTCTAGCAGTTTGTGTTCTTGCAATTCCGAAGTGCCACTATCTGAGGCAGGTATATCAGGTACATTTCGAGGCTCAGACTCCAATTTTGATCCATTACTTTCTTCAAGAAAATTTCCTCCATCTTGACAAGGGTCATCTACTGCAGCATCAACATTTTCTTCTAGTCTGTGTTCTTGCAAATCAGAAGTGCCACTTTCTGAGGCAGGTATATCAGATGCCTTATGTTGCGCAGACTCTTCCTTTGATGGTGAGGAAGATGTTTCAGCTTCTGAAATTTCTTTTAAAAAATCTTCAGCTCTAGTATGTATGGTGCTCAAAATTTTACTTTGTGGAATTTCTGGTGGTAGCTTCTCAGTCATTTCCTTCAACTGAATAAAACCAAAGACGAGCAAAATTACTTAGGATGAGGACTAGAAATACAGATTAATGACCTTTCTTCTTTTTGCCATTTTATCTTCTTTTTTCCCCCATTTGGTTGTGCCATTAAGTTTATGTCATACATTAAGTTTATTTTGTGCGAACTGCAGGCTCTGAATTGTAACCATTGCCCTCTACTCTAGTACAAACATTGCAATATAGCTACATATCATGAAAATGGATCCTCTCATGTGTAATTTAACATGATCATGTCATGTGGGAGGATCTTAACCATTAATAATTAAATCAACGGTAATAATTGTGTAACTTTCTATCCTTATATTTTTCTTCTCTCCTCCCTTATCACAATTAACTCACTCATGTATGGTTATGATTGCTCCACATGACATGGTCATGTTAATTAGCACATGAGAGGATCCCCTCCCACATATCATACTTTGTCCCCACTTGCATGATTTTGGAGTCATTTTTTCAATAATTTCTTATAAAATAACTCAAGAAATTGAGCTATGACCCTAGAATACAGAATGAAGATACCTTATCTGTAGTAGATTCAATAAATTCTTTTGCTACTCTAAAATTAGAAGATTCCACTGCAGCCATGGCAGTAGCTTCCGTAGCCTTTCTCTGAAGCTTCTGAATTTCCCAATCTTGCATGTCACTTCTCTGCTCCAAACTTTGAATCTATATGAACAAATATCCAATACTTATGAATGGGAACAGATTATGTTTATTTGAAAACAAAGGATGTGATTTCTATATATAGAATGGTATTAAATTTACTTGGTTCTGCAATTTTGAGAGTTCTTGGTTCAAAAGGTCACTTTTCTTTCTCAAACTTTCGATAAGACTTCCAGAAAATCTAGGACTGGAAGAACGAGGAGGGCTTGGTCTTCTTGTATGTGGGGATGAGGGTCTTGAATTAGCAGGTTCAATTGGTGATGGAATTGGAGGTATAGCAAGCTTCAAAACACTTTGAATAGAACTCAGTGCACTTGGAAATGCAATATCTTTCAACTGTGAAGGAGATGGAACTTGAGAAGCTCGGACAAAGGAAGTAGAATCACATTTGCTTCCAGGCTTACTATTCCTTATCTCAAGGTACTTCACTGGTTCAGTGTGTGGAGAAAAGAGAGTTCTCACAGACCTTACTACTCCCTTGCCTAATCTTTCACTACCATTTGTTGAATAATGAGAAGGAGTAGCTTTTCTATTTAACTTGGAAGCACTAGAAGCCTCAACAACTTTAATCTTAGCATAACAAGTATCACATACACGATGAGGTTTTTCTGGTCTTGGTGCCAATGCTGCTTTCAATACCTTTCTAGAACTACAAGAGTGGCAATAAACTAAACCACAATTATAACAATTGTGCCTCTTTCTTGTTAAACCAAATGCTTGTCTACATCCAGTGCAAACAGATTGGTCAGTTCCAGTGACCCATTTATGGATGGATATACAAGATGTAAAATTTGAGCCACATGATATATTTTTTACATGCCTATCTTTTAAGGCTACCACCAACTTAGGAGAATCCCTATTTTCTGTGTCTCCATGCCCCAATCTTCCATTTGCACCTCTTCCCCATGTATAAAGTTCACTTCTAGATGTCAAGACAGCAACATGATGTGCTCCACATGATATCTCATCAACAAACTCACCTAGCAACTTATCTTGGACTAGAGTAGGTACTTTTCCAGCAGAAGTAGGATTTCCTAATTGACCATGTTCAGTGCCTCCCATTGTAAAGACATGACCAGATGTAGTGAGAGCAACAGTCATGGTGTGCCCACATGCTATCTGGTGGAAATTATATTCAGTAAGTGGAGAGACCCTGGTTGGTTGAAGGTATGTTTCCTTGTTTCCATGACCCAAACGATATTTGTCCCCATCACCCCATGTGAAGAGCTTCCATGGGGAAACACTTGAACCAGACTGAAACATAACCTCTACAATAGCTGCAGTGTGCCATACTCCACATGCAACCTTAATAGTCTTTAGTCCACTTAATAATTGTACCTCCTTTGGATACCACACACTCTCTTGATCTCCATGACCCAAGACACCAAATGTTCCATCACCAAAGGTAAACAGCTTTCCATTAGAGGTTGCCAATGCTGAATGCCATGTGCCACATGCAACAGATACAACTTGAAGTCCTTCCAAAGGGCCATTCATCCTCTTTGGTATCCAGTGGCTAACCTCAGTACCATGGCCAAGAAGTCCAGCATTATGTGTACCATCACCCCAAGTGAAAAGATCATCAGATTTAGATACAGCACATGTATGATACTCTCCACATGCAACAAAATCGAAATTACAAACTTCCGGAAACTCAACTAGATTGGGGTGGCCAAAATCTTTATCAATTCCATGACCAAGTCTTCCCCCAGATTCTTCTCCCCAAGTAAAAACCTCTCCTTGCCTGGTTATTATAGCAACGTGGCGTGCACCAGATGCAATGTGATGAACATCAAGAACAACATTTGACTCTAAAGGCCTAGGAATAAGCACATCTGTTTTAGAAGGGACCTGAATTCCACTCCCATCAGGTGAAACACCATCTGCCAAAACCTCTCCCCATATGTAAACATCACCTAGTGACTCTATGTCATCTGGATCAGATCCTCCGCTTGAATTGCTAGGTGTACTCGACAAACTAACACGGAAACCATCTCCAACACTTGTCCTTGGTAGCATATCTAAAAGTTCTAAACTCACATCTTAGCTTGCCCAATACAATGAAGACTCACAAGAAATGGAATCAACAGAGTCCTTGCCAGTTGCAATGCCTGAAGTTAAATCTAGTGCTGCACCTAAAGGACAACCATTCTGAATAAAGTCAAATATAGACTTGCAAACAAGTATCTATGGCTCACAGTCCCTGGATTAACCAAAAAACAGAAACCTCTTAGAAAGCTTGCATTTCACAAGAGGGATTCATGCAGATGCAACAAGAATTGAGAGTAAAGTTAATACAGTTAAATATTCACCTATTTAAGGGAAATAATTCCCAAACATTAACCTAATTGTTTTTCTTATGGGAAATCCAATCAACAAAAACAATTTGTTGTTAACAGAAAAGTGTCAAGAGGCAACTTTGGATCAGGATTTTCAAATAGATTATCCTATACCTTGCACATTCTTTGTTGAGATTTCAATTAAACCATATACTTGAAAACCTACATTTGAATGCAAAAAGGAAAGAAAGAAATGAAGAGAAAAATCAAAGCCAAATGTTATAGAACATCGGCATAGTGACAGAAAGTAACAATTTCATATGTAGGGTCTCACACATGTAAGTGTCCAACAGAGATATAGTGACATGGCTCTTTTGAAATATCCCTGCTTCCAAAACTGGCAGAAACTATAAATTGTGTATATTGGAGCAATTGAGGCTAAAAATGATCACTGGATGGATTTCTGTTTAAACTCATACCAAATAAGTCTTTTAATACCGCTATTATGCTTCTAACAAGTTGAAATGAATGGTTTAAGGCTAGCAAAGCATATCTCTTTAGGAATACAGGCAATACACTCTATTTGTTATTGGGTGAAATGAGCTTCACTAAATGACTTGGGCTTTCTTCCTATTAGTTGGATCATTATGAGATTCCACTCAATAATAGAGAGAATGCTACAAAGAGCGTGAAAGATTGTGTAGTTCACGCTTTGCTGCTTCTATATATAAATAAGAAAAAATAATAGCTAGAATCAATTTTGTTTCCTTGTTTTTTTAATCAAATTGATTGATTTTAATGCATTATGAGAATCCATTTTTTTTCTTACCAGATCAAGCAACCATACACAGTTATCACAAATGAGTGAAAATAATCCTTTTCTGGTAGCAAAGACCAAGAATTAAGTTTTTAACTTAAGTGTTCTCTGTCCAGGTATAATCTTGATAAGGGAGACAGAAGAAAATTTCAGATTCCTTTACTTTCAATGAGAAAGCCAAATTATTTTATACTGATAATACCACCACTAAATATAAAACTATTCATTCGAAGATATCAAATTCATCATGCAAATATCCTTCAAGAAAGGCACAATTTGAGCTAGATATATATTTATGTTAGGTCAAGTAATATCATATAAGTTTCATAATTCATCTCATTTCTTCTTTTACAAAAACAAATTTAGGCACATTTACATCCCACTTTACAAAAGGACAAAATTCAAATGAGACATTTTTATATACTCTCAGAGTAATAAGCAAGCTAATCAAGACATATATAACATGTGACAATATCAATTGAATTTTTTTTATCGTCCAATTAACTTAATGATAAAATCTAGTACATAAGAATTTCTTTACACAATATCCAACACTGATCAAGTGTCAATATATAAGACAGCTTTGTTGAAACTAACTTGTTCAAAATCATACTCTGGATTCACCATAGCTAGTAGGATCTGCCGTTCCATCTGAAAGAATTGTAGGGATAACGCCAAAGACGAAACTCAAGGGACAACAACAGCATCAGGTGCATTTTCATCTCCATAGATCCTTATTCTTTTTACACTCCAATAATCTTGATTAAAAATGCACAACAAAAGGTGAAAACATACGAAGCTCAAAGCTTATAGAAGAACTTTACGTATGGACATCTAATGAGAAATTTTCATGGTAGTCGCAAAATCATAAGGATTCATGATCAAATTTGTCGTAAGGTGTTGTGAAATCATAGCATTGAGTGAGAGAGTTTTTGAGCAAAATTGTGCTAGCCGAAGAAACCATGGGGAAAAAAAAAAATTGCAGATGAATATGAGAGAGACAGAGAAGGCGAGATGAGAGGAAAGTACATGGTCATATTTCAGGCAATTTTGCAGATCGAAAGAAAAAAAATATATGAGGATTAGATATTTGGCACGATTCTTGCTTGGCATTCCCGTCTTACCAACAAACTTAAAATTATTTTGCCACGTACCCCTGATGGACCCTTCATAAAAATTACATGAACCAAAGAATTTGTAATTGTATATCATTTATTCTTTTCACGAATATAGTTATTCGAATACGTCCTCTCATCTTTTATTTTTATTTTTTGGAATAACTCTCATCTTTTATTTTAATATCACCATGACACCTATATGATCTCATCCATTTATTTACAGACTAGAGTTATTAATTAAAATCATAATTTTTACTTATATGTAATAAATTAGGGGAGACTTTCATTCACGCATAAAATGAGTCTAAGTAACAAATTCACAATAAATGGATCATTCCCAAAACTTTTAAGATATTAGATTTATGAGTCATTTCACTTATATGTATCATTCTTAGCCAATGGCGGAACCAGAATTTAATTTTAAGCGAAGCCAAAAATTTGACATATCAAATTATTAAAATATTTTTGTAATTATACAAATTTATTAGAAAAAAATTTATTTAAAATTTTTAAAGTAATATGATTGATGTTATTTTAAAAATAATAAACATTTATTTAAAATTTAAAATATAATATAAAATTAAATTAGTAAAGAAAGTGCAAATTGTTTACCAAAAAAAAAAAAGTGCAAATTATATGTATATATACATATATGAAATTTTCATATGATTTTTATGAACATTTTCATGTGTTCTTCATTAACATTATTTCATATGATGTTAATGGAATTTTATTTCATGTGATTTTTGTGAATAATTTTGTTTATCTTTTATGTTTTAATTTGGTTTGGGCCTATAAACTTTAGTTTGCAACTTGGTAGGCCATACAGGTTGTATTAGGTTTTTTAGTTTTTTAAATACGTCAGGCCATACCTATAAATCAAATCTTTAATAGGCTAATAAGCCAATATAAGATCTAAATATTTACATAAGCTATTTACAAAAAAAAAAAAAATATTTACATAAGCTTAGGCTATCAAAGCCAAAGTCTGGCCTAACTTGGCTCATTTATACCTTTAGTTGTGACCTGTGAAGAACATCAACGTAAAGGGACAGCAAACTTCACGTTCAAAAAGAAACATGGAACAATCAGTGAAAAATGTCTAAAATCATTTTAAATGACATTGGATTCACATAAATCATTTAATCAGTGTTTAGATATTTTAAAAATTTAAAAAAAAAAAAAAACAAAGAAGTTGTTAATGAATATGTACAAGAAATTTTTGTACTCCATATATATACATATATCTTCATTGATTTTTTTTCTCTAACAGTTTTCACTGATTAATAGCTAAAATTCACATTCCTGTTGTGAAATCAAATACAAATAACACCAAGAAATAATTCAATTTCATTATCAATAGCAACAATAGCTCTATATGAAAATAATTTTTTTTTAAAAAAGGTAAATGTGAAATAACACTCCATTTTTTAAAAGAAATAAAATCAATAAATATAACCACACACAAAAAGTTGTAAATAAAAAAAAGGGGCATGAATTTCACTTATGTTAAAAATACTTTGTAACATCCCGGGTGCTGACGAGGGCGGGGAGTGATCGCCGGTGCGAAAGGGCATAGACAAGGAGCGGCTCCTGGCAAGCTTCCAGCGACGGGGGTGCATGAATGAATCGAATCAACACCCGAAAGAGATGGATTCCATAGACTGTGCCGGTATGGGACGTTACAGTTTGGAATAGCTTATAAGAATTAATTGGTACTACCTATACTAACAAGATGCATCTACTTTTCGCCAGCCCATAACGGAAGAACTCCATAGTTAAGCATGCTTGACTTAGAGCAATTCTGGGATGGGTGACCTCCTATGAAGTTTTCCCAGGAAGTGTGCGAGTGAGGACAAAGCACACTGAAAAGTCTTATGTTAGTGTGTGGGGACAGTCATCGATCCTTGCATGTTGCCTGGTGTTACAAGTGGTATCAGAGTATGGCCTCTCTTCCAGTACGGAGTGGTTCGAGGACGAACCAGGCGGAAGCTGGTGGGCATGTAACATCCCGGGTGCTGACGAGGGTGGGGAGTGATCTCCGGTGCGAAAGGGCATGGACAAGGAACGGCTCTTGGCAGGCTTCCAGCGACGGAGGTGCATGAATGAATCGAATCAACACCCGAAAGAGAGGGATTCCAGAGACTGTGCTGGTATGGGAGGGTACAGTTGGGAATAACTTATAAGAATTAATTGGTACTACATATACTAACAAGATACATCTACTTTTCGGCAGCCCATAACGGAAGAACTCCATAGTTAAGCGTGCTTGACTTGGAGCAATTCTGGGATGGGTGACCTCCTGGGAAATTTTCTCAGGAAGTGTGCGAGTGAACACAAAGCACACTGAAAAGTCTTGTGTTAGTGTGTGGGGACAATCGTCGGTCCTTGCAAGTTGCCAGGCGTTACACATAGACAATTATGATCAGTAGAGACAAAGAATTTCTCTTTTACAAGGTTCAAAAATATAAATCAATTTTTTTCTCGAGCGGACAATATAATTACCAATGCATATTCCAAAAACATGTATTCTTAAAATCTTGAGAAAGGAACAAAGCATCGTACCTTGTCGCAGAATGGCTGGGTTTCGGGTTGAGTGTGAATAAGAAAAAAAAAGGTTTGAAGAAAACCTTAATTGAAAAAAGATAAAAGAAGAATAAGAAGGAATTAAGAAGAAAGCAATAAAGCAACTCCAAATATTCGTCTATTATCATTGTTAAAATTTTAGCTAGGGCCAACTTATAATTTTAGCTAGGGCCCAATTATAATTACTTATATAATTCTATATAATAAATAAAATTTGTTGAAATGTAGATGGGGCCTAGGCCCTACCTAAATATAACGTGACTACGCCACTGTTCTTAGCTCATTTCTTCCCAATGCGAGACTTTTTATCACTCACACTTCAATTCTTAACAATCTCCCCTTCGAGTGTGAGTTCTACAACTGTCAACTCCCCTCAAGCGGA